TGTTCCGGATGCAGTACTTCATGCTAATTCTTAAAATCTTAGTAGCCATGTTTAATTTACAAGGTGCACTGAAAGTAAGGCCCCACAGGCAAAAATCAGTCTCAAAGGCCATTTATTATATAAATTACATGAATTACCAGTAGTTAAATTGGTTGACGTTTTCTGACTCATTTGATTTTCTAATCTTTGAACCAGTGGTAAAATCTCCATGGGTTGCCACCAGTTCATTGCCTGTGCATGTGCAGTGCCCACGCGCATACGCAATGGGTGCCAAATACACGCTGCATGTGCACACATGCACAATGTGCACTAAATGCACATGCATGCACAGTGCACACCAAACACGCACTTCACACAGAAAAAGGAGCCGTTTGAAGGTAAGTAGAACAGTGAGGGGAGAAAACAGCTGTGCCGCATGATTTAGATTCACTAGAAAGCAGGATTTCCTGCTTTCTAGCTAATATAAATCGCACGGCACAGCTGATTGTTGGAAAGACCGGTAGCATTTCACCCCTGCTTTGAACATCTCTAAGTACAGTAACATTTTTTTGGAAACAAAACAGATTGAAATAAAACATATTGTGATTGGCCTATGGAGTCTGACTTTGGGTACACCTTATGAAAACCTCAGCATTCTAGCCATGGAATGTTTGTGAAATATTAGAACATTTCATTTTTATTTCTTAGAACATGCCAGTCCAGCTCTTCTGGGAACAGTGCATCCTTTTCTGGGAAATTCATTTGTTCCCAGAACAGCTAGATCAGAGCATTCTGAGAGAAAAGTGGAATATTCTGTGATGAAAAACACCTACACACAATTAATGTATGATGCTGTAACCATACCTTTTGGTTCAAATGCCAATAGAATTAACTGTGGAATAATATTTAATTATTTATCTACTTATATAATAATACCTATATGATTATTTCACAACTTATAATTATAGGCAAATTTATCCCTAAACTCAAGCTGCTGATCCTGTAGGGACAATATTCTAATCCTATATAATTGAGAGGATGTAGAAAATAGCTGCTCTTTGAAAATTTTCTTTATTATTATGTGAATGGATTCTTAATTGAATGGATTGAACAATCTTTAAAAGAACAAAAATTGTAAAATTTTATGGCTAATATTTCCACATTTTATACTGTCTATACTTCCAATGACATCTTATATCACACTTTTCTATCTGACATTAAAAAGAAACAACCTTAATGTGCATTGGTGTATGGGAAAAAATATCCACTTGGTTCAGTTCCAAGCTGGGAGAAAGGCACTGGAAACATGGAGGCTGATAGGAAAGAAGGTTTAATGATGAACAGAACCACCAAGCACATGGTTCTGGTGCACTTGACCAAATAGAGTTGAGAGTGAGGGGTTTTTATACCTTCTTTAAGCTTTGCACTTGAGCTTCCTGTTCCTGTGTAAGAACCCTTATTCTATTCGCTGTTGTCAGACTCCCATGGGGCCATGTAGGAGGTATGTAGGAGTCATAGCTGGCTCTATAGGCAAAGTACAAATCCTAGATGTTTGTCTGAGCTACGTTTTGTTGAAGTTGGACTGCTCTGATGATGCTGCAGTAATTCCTAATGTGGCTTAATGGCTTTTTCCTGTGATGGATCTTGAGTGATGACTGCTTCTAATCCTACCATTCTGACTTTGTTTCAAAATATCCTGTCTTGAATGGATTACCAAATCTGCATTTCTAAAAGCTGGCCTCAGCATCTGCTGGGGCTATTAAGGAAAGTGGGGGTTACTTTCTGCCTCCAAAAAAAAAAACAAACATGTTTCTCCATTTCTCCCTTTGAGGAAATATAATAATCTGTCCTTTTTAATATTCCTCAAAATATTTCATTCTTCTAGGAGGGGGGTGGCTTCCCACAGATGTCATAGCCATTATTCAATACATGCTTATCAGAAATTGGCAATCACAGACTACATGCAATACCAACAGGCACAGTAAATAGGAGAAAGTGCTCCATTTCCTAGCAACTAAATGTTGCCATTTGAGTGCTGGGATAATATAACATCCCCACAGCAAAACATCAGTTTTGAATGAGGGCATATGGATCTTATGCACACAGAAGTAGTAACAGCTGTCCATTATTGTTCAAACCAGTCATCCTGAAAGAGCTATCAATCTCTGAGAAGTGACCTACATTCAGAAACATTGCTAATCCAAAGTGCTATACTATGGTCAAATGTACTGAAAGCTTTGAACATTTGAATATGCCCCTAAATCAGATTGCCCTTTCCTTAGGAAAATTAAGGACACATGCCAATATCTGCATTCCATACAAGAAAATTATGTATGTATGTATGTATGTATGTATGTATGCATGTATGTATGTATGTGACTTCTTTGCCACTCCATCTTTTGTGGGTGCTCTATAACTAGAGGTTTTTAAGAAAAGATTAGATAACCACTTGTCTGAAATGGTATCAGATCTCCTACTTGAGCAGGAGCCTGTGAGCTGTGGCTAGGGGGACCTTTGCACAGGTTCGCCTGGTGCACCAATTGTGACCCTACTTGGATCAGGAGGCTCTCCTCACAGTCACTCATGCCCTTGTCACCTCACAGTTAGATTATTGCAACGCACTCTACATGGGGCTACCCTTGAAAAGTGCTCAGAGACTACAGTTGGTCCAGAACGCAGCCGCGCGATTCACAATTCGGTCACAATTCAAGGTGTTGGTTATTACCTTTAAAGCCCTACATGGCTCAGGGCCAGATTATCCTCGAGATCGCCTTCTACCGCATAGCTCCCAACAACTGGTAAGATCCCACAGAGTTGGTCTCCTCCAGGTCCTGTCAGCTGAACAATGTCGGCTGGCGGGCCCACAGGGGAGGGCCTTCTCTGTGGCTGCCCCAGCTCTCTGGAACCAGTTACCTCCTGAGATCCGGACCATCCCCACCCTATTGGCCTTCCGAAAAGCGGTGAAGACCTGGCTTTTCCAGCAGGCCTGGGGCTGTTAATCTCGCTGTTGCGATTTGGCGAGATCTGGCCATGAATGGTGTGAATGGGTTTTAATTGTTTTTAATGTTTTAATGTTTAATGTTTTTATATATGGTTTTTAAATGCATTGTAAGCCTCCTTGAGTCTTCGGAGAAAGGCGGCATACAAGTTGAACACATAAATAAATAAATAAATAAATAAATAAATAAATAAATAAATAAATAAATATAGACTAGAAGACCTCCAAGATCTCTTCCCTTCCCTTCCCTTCCCTTCCCTTCTCCTCTCCTCTCCTCTCCTCTCCTCTCCTCTTCTTTTCTCTCTTCCCCTCCCCTCCCCTTCCCATTAAAAACTCAGTTTATCAATAAATGTTATTGTTATTCTATAATTGTTATTATTACTATATTGGGACAGGATATTTTCCGCATCAGTTCAGCATAATATAGGTTTATTGCTGGACAATCTAAGACTGCTGTGCTGCATTTTTCTTCACACACACACACTCTCTCTCTCTGCCTTAAAGGCAATGGAGGAAGAATATATATTATAATATAATATACAATACATATTTAAGACATCTAATTGAATTTAGCAGGGTTGATGTTTTCTAAAGAGTCCATCATCCCTGTTATTTTCCTCTCAATCTGTCAAAATATGCACCATTCTAGCCTAAGAATTAATCTTTTTAGTATTATTATTATTATTAAATCTAGAAGTGGCTGGAATTAAATTAGCTTGCCCACAGATCTTGAATCATAAACTTGAAGTGATGAAACTTAAATGGGAAAGGACAAGCTATTATTATAATTAGAAATCTGGAACGGTGCTAGTATTCTTCTGCTAGACTAAGAAGTTATGAAAGGAAGTTAATATAGTATATAAATGAAATCAATAAAAGGAAGTTAGAAATCTGAAGAAACTTGGGTGGACAATGTTGTAGAGCAGTGGGTCCCCAACCCCCAGTCCATAGACCAGCTGTTGCTGTTGTAGAAAATATAAACTCAAGGGATTACGAGACAAAAACTGAGCTAAAGTAAACAACAACAACAACAACAACAACAACAACAACAACGGAGGCTAAACTTCCAATACACAGACTTATCTAAAATTGCCTTGTTGCTACTGGTATCATTTGTATTATTAGTAGTATGGAAAAGAAATCCAGTTTTTACAGCATTGGATATAGCAGTTCAAATTATTTTTTTGTTTATTTCTAGAGAATTCATTGCATGCAATATTTAGAGTAATTTGCCTGAACTGTATTTACTTTTTAAAAATGCATAAAAAAGTAAGTGTTCTCTTCAACTTTTTTTTTAAAAAAAAACACGCTTAAAAGTTAAGTACTTTATGAATAGAGAGGGTTCTTTTCTTTTTCAGTACTTCTAGAACTGACCATATAAAGTTGCTTCCGTTATTTACTTAGTTATTTACTTACAAAGAAATTTACCTCTGCCTAATGTTGCTCCTGATAGCTCCTTTCTTGGGACAAACACTTTGTGTTTTATGTCCCCAGGACTGACTGTTATCAGAAAGTTTTGGAAATTCAGCCTGCTCCGATGAAAAAGCTTCTTCATAACAATCGAGACAGCATTTAGTGCTTTTACAAAGCCTGTTTTTAATCATTTGAGGATTCAGCTATCACAGGCAGAAGAAGTTGCATGTTTTATGCAGCATCTTGAACATGAGATCCATGCTTGAAAGAAACCCATATAAAGTTATCTTTCACTTAGTTTATTTGAAGTTCTATGTGTCCTCACAAAAAGTACAGCATAGATTGTCTTAAACAGCAAATGTTTTTGTTGCTATAAAGCAAAAATAGTCAGATTGTTAAGCGTTTTTCTTTACCAACCATTAAATAAACAATACTTATTCATCACCCTTCACCATCAGTATTATGGGAATTTAAGTTTGAAATAGGATGTTGATATAGACAACTTCTTCTATTTATATAGATTCCAATTAAGAATTGCTACAAACAGTTATATTATTAGGGCATTTTTATCATGGTGAGAGTAGGCTAGTAGGCATGTTCTTCCACTTACCTTGCAACGATGAAGAAAAAAACAGTTGAAATGTCATCACTAACACCTGACGGAAATGTTTTTAAGTGACATAGAAAAATCCTACAGTGACAGCTTCGACTTGCTCAAGCATTCTGCAAACAGCTAAGCTCAACACACGCTATTTGGCAGCCCATTAGCTCTGTCTCTGACATCTTGTCTCTGATGTCAGCGTTGCTAGAAGGCTCTTTTTCCTGCATTCATCAAGAACATTTAAAGAGAGGATGCTTTGTATCTGCATGAAACTGTTAAAAAAGAATATTGCAATGTGTGGAAGCTTCCACATATAATATGTATAATGTGCCTGATGCATGAAGAAGTAATCCTTTCAAGCTGTCACCCTAAGTACACAAATACCTCCAGGACCTCCTATCTGATGAGTATTAAGTAAAGCTAGTTGGTCCTTAGGCTCTGGATTCAGTTTATTTCTTTCCAGAATGTCTCAATAAGGGCCATAAATGATAATCTGCTTTAGATAGATAGCTTGCTCCATATAGCAGTGTAAAATGAATTTCAACATGGATTCGGTGAGGAATTTGCAGCCTATCTGAAGGGGTTAGGCTAAAGAACATTGATTTTCATTGTATTTTTATTTATTTATTTATTTGAATGTATTAGCTATCTAGCTCCAATAGACTCTGGGCAGTATACAAGACTGGAAAATCCATAAAAGTACAATAAAAGTCAAACCAAATGGACAATCCAGCTAAAATAATCTTATAGAGAACAAAAATCAAATATAACAGGGCACCTACACAAACAATAATACATCAGCCCCAGGCCTGGAGCTGAAGCCTAATTTTCTGAGCCTTCTGGAACCATAAGAGAGGGGTACAGACCAGTAGTGGGTTCCACTTATCTTCGCTACCGGTTCAGAACTGTGAGTGTGCATGCGTGCTCGCTTCACTTGCACACGGCGCTTCTGAGCATGCGCAGCGTGTCCATCATGATTTCCGGGTGGGTGGGCAGAGCCTCCTACCGCTGCCACTACAGGTTCTCCTGAACCAGGGTGAACCAGTAGAAACCACCACTGGTACAGATCTTAATTCTGGTGGAGGGAGTATATTTTACTCCAGGGAATGGGGACCGCAACAGAGAAAGTACACTTCCTTGATCCTACAAGATGATAACATTTAATAGAGGGTTCTTGGTCGCTCTCCAAATGCTATTTTTAAAGAAGGATGTAGGTTCCCAAAATCCTGCCAAAATCTTGCCTATCATAATTTTTTACAATCAACATCTCAATGTGCAAAATCATGACAACATATTCTCAAAATATAAATCAATTCTTAATAAATGTTAATTTAATAATATTAAAACAGCTCCCAAATCTTATTATTTTAAATGAATGTTAAAATGTTCAGAAGCAAATTATTTAGTTAATTCAAGAAGCACATAGCATGTATGTGCGTTTTAGCTTTTTAGCTCTTTTAGCTTTTTAGCTTTTTAAGTGTAACTTGGGTTTTAATTGGATTGTTTTAAATTGTGGGCCAAAGCTGTATAATTCTTTTAATTGATTTTAAATTTTGTATTGGTATGTTTTTTATCCTTGGCTGTGCACCGCCCTGAGTCCAATAGGAGAATTGGCGGTATATAAATTGAATAAATAATAATAATAATAATAATAATAATAATAATAATAATAATAATAGTAATAATAATGTATCAGTTAACAGTTGATGGCAAAACAGAAGCTTAACATAAAGTTCCTTAATATATCAGTTGTGGCTGATGTATTAAGGTAAACAGAATATGGCAGAGATCAATATTGATTCATTTGAATTCACATTCCAAAGGTTTGAAAAGTGAACAAGGTTCCAAATGGTTGCTTTTTTTTTCTTTTTTTCTTTTTTCTTTTCTTTTCTTTCTTTTTTTTCTTTTTTTGGCAAACAAGAAGAGTTACAATTAGAGTTTCTCCTATATGAACAGGAGAGAATCAAACATCTTTGTGTTATTGTGCTGCAATATTATGCTGATTTAAATGTTGTGCCTAGCTGGATTAGACAGCTAATACATATTATAAGAGAGAATAGGAAAATAAACAGAGAAGACCTGAAATATAAGAGATTCAAGCAAAGAATTCAAATGGTCCATTTAATTGCAAGTAAAACATAAAAATGTTCTGATACAGCTATCATTTGTGTGTCTGTCTGTCCGTCTGCTTGGCTCAATCCAGCTATTCTGCTCACAGTGAAGTTAAGTAACAATAACTTAGAAGAGGAAGCCAAGACACCTCTGGAAATCTATCTAGACCAGAGGAGTTAACATTTTTCACCAGAGCCTGGTAAGAGTCACATCTAAGGATGCAGCTGTAACTTTGAAGTCTCATTCCTGGCTTTTCATGAAGACTTAGGACTTCAGAACGATAAGATGGCAAGAGAAAACCTAGCTGGAAGCAAGGACATTTCTTCCTTACATCAAACCACTAAAGATAAGGCCTACATGAAGATGTGGACTTAACCAGGATGTGCAGGCACACATGGTGGGGGAATCAAATTTGCAAAATGACAAGTGTAATGTACATGCATACACACAGGGAACAGGGCTTGGCTTTGTGATGCCATTTCTGTTATCTTGAAGACTTTGGTATGGATGCCTCATGTACTGTATGTCTTGGCTCTAGAGCCATTTATTCTGTGATATAAAGCTTGCTGTAAGACACTTGCTGCCTTGTTTTTGTCTGTACCAAATACCATACCAATTTTGTTGAAGTTCATACTAGATTTTTTTTTCAACATTTCCCATGCTAATTCAGCAAGTTCAGCAAGTCTGCAATAGCAGACTTAATCAATACTGGATTATTTCATTATTGATAATTAGCTATGTGTACAGGCTCTATCTTGGCCAAGGATTATCCACTCCTGGCTATGATGGTTCATATTGCTTAGCATGAAATCATTTCCATTTCAGCTCTCCCAGGTAAACAAGACAGGAAATCAACCAAATGAGTTGATTTTACTTTATATAAGGCTTTGTTAACAGAACCTTGCAAGTTTGAAGATACAAACGTCCCACTACTTCTAACTGCCTGGTCAATTAGGGCAAGTCCTTCCTAAGTTTCTTTATCTACCATTAATTCACTGGGAGCTCCTGCCTCTCTGGTCAAATTGTTTCCTAGGCAACATCTCTTCTGTTCTTTCCCTAAAGTAATTCACATGTTCCTTTACATCTGGTAAAGGGGAGCAGCTCTTCTCATCAGTTTGAACCAAGTGGCAGCAGGTTTGACTGCTGGTGCAAATCTCATTTGGACTGATTGAGACAAGCTCCAGTGAGCAAGGAGAACTCCCTTCCTATTGTTTACAAACACAGTAACTCTGCAACATTAATTTAACAAGGAGCACTTCTGAGCAAAGAGCTTCTCTCTCTGTTGGGTTGTTATGAATGATTGTGGTGTAAAACTATATTAAGCCAATTAAGCATCTGTTGTTCCCCAATTTACAGTGTATTGTCATTCTCTACATTTGTTGTTTGTTTCCACACTGTAGTCCTGGGATGTTCATTTTAATGTTCTCTTTTTTTGTTGTTTCTGTATCTTTAGAAATAAACATTCAGTTCCCTGGAGCAAGAAAGCTACTTATCTTCATCCCCACCATAGCTTCCCAAAAGTCTAACTTCCCCTGTGATAATCTTCAGAGTCAGGTCTTTAAATACTGAAATATGAAGGTAATGCATAAGTTACTTAGCACAAAGAGAACAGAAGACTGAACCATTTACCAGCAAAGAGATAAGCCCCTGCTGAAATTATTCCTCTGACTATTATTTAACAAAGGAAAGTTGGCATAGAGACTCATGCTCTAGTCTAGGATTGACATGTGGCTTCCAGAATCTTCCTACAGTACTGAAATGAACCAGGAAGAATTTTTTCCCCATTGTTATTGTAGGATATGAGCAGTACGTAATAATCACAGTACATTTCTGCAACCTAAGAAAGTTTTACTTCAACTTAAGTAAACATGAAAAAGAGATAGTAACTTTTCCAAACTCTTAGAGGTTGTGGGGGGGGACTTCTCTATGCAACTGCACATTACACAAGGCTTCCAGTTTAAAAGTCACCATCAGTGAAATGTAGGGGATAAAGTGTAAGACAAGAATGAAAAGAGTCAGGCCAAAGTCCATCTCACTAATAAAATTCACCTCATACGAGTTTTGTTGTTGGGAAACAATGGAGATTCCCATATCAGTTGTCTTGATCCCCTGCAGGATAGATGTGAATTAATTTTTACAAGCAAATAAATTAACAGTGGAACCATACTCCTTTAGCAAGGCCAAATAAAGCAGGGCAGTGATGACTTTCTGACATTCTCCACCAAATGATTTCACCAAGAAAAAAGAAGTTTTCAACTTCTCAAATTCCTCTTTAACAGGGGCATGATATCTTCTTTACCTGAGATTTAATGGAAGTGTGGGAAATCAGGAATGTTGGAGAGTTAAGAAGCCATGTAGGCTGATGCTACCTTGTAATTTTTTAAAAAAAAGTGCAAGAACATCATAGCCCACTCATGAGAATGTCACCAAAATTCCTTTCTAAATTTCACATTTAGAACATTTTCACATCTCCTGTGAAAATGTTTGAGAGCCATTTTCTTTTCATCAAAATGACTAGCCTGTTCCTTCTACTATGTACATTTTGAATATATGCAAACATAACTTCTTAAGATGCTATAGTCAAATGAGCTGTTAACACTTAGGCCTACACAATTTATAAATAGCTTGCCAGTCACGCAACTACCATACCAAACACTTAATTACTTTTTCTTCTTTTACAATCTCAGCCCCAACACACAAAATCTCAGCCCCAACACACAAAATCTCAGCCCCAACACACAGAAATATTGACAGAAAAAGTCAATATTAAGCATACTTCCAAGAGCCATCATCTATGTCTGGTGGATTCACTGTTTTTTATTTTATTTGCAAGTTGCTGTTGTTTAAAAAAATAACCCTACCATATTGCATTATTTCAGATTTATATAATTATATGCATATTCTAAAATTGTATTACATAAATCCATATCCAAAACCAGTTCATTTCATGAATGGGCAAGATATGTACACCACTGCTCTCAAGAAATCAGCAAACTTCACCTAAAGA